TCTGTTTGTGTAATGAGATTCTGTTGGATATCATTGGACTTTTGCCTCCAAACAGAATTATATTAATTTTTAAGATTAAGATAGCTGCTTAATCTGAAGAAGCTAGGTAGGATTAGAAATATTGGAAGCCAATTTCCATTAAACTTAAAGTTTCTTCTTTCCTGACCCGAATCAGGTGGGGACATTTGAAACTGGTGCTTTGTTTTTTGTTGGCATTCAGCTTTCTTTCAAACCTGTGAAATGGTCTCCACACATTGTGTTGACTTGGGATGGTTAACGGGAATCCTCTGCATGGCAACAGCCCTGGATTTTAGGGGTTTTGTTTGTGTGTTTGGGGGTGTTTTTGTTTTGGTGGTTTGTGGTTGGTTTGTTTGTGTTTTTTTCTTCTGGTAGGTGCTACTAATAGTTTCAAGTAACTGTATACTGTTTTTGCCAAACACTGTTTCTTACAGAACTTTTTATATAGAAGTGCCTTTTATTATTAGTTATTAGAAGCCTAAGTGTTCTTAGTATCATAAGGTATGCATCCTAGTAGATCAGAAACAGTATATTCATTGGCTTAGTATTTTTTAATTAATGCTGCATTTCCAGGTGGTTTGAATTTCTTCCCCATCACACATGTTGAGGAAAAGGCAGAGTATCTGTCTGAGACTGTATCAGCACTCCCTGCATGACATAAAACTTGATTTCTTTTTAATATTTCATTACAAAAATAAACTAGTATCCCAAAGTTATTTTGCAGCAATCAACTGCATCCATTTTCTCTGCAAAAGCTGAATGTCAAAAATACTGATGTTAGAAATTGCTTACAATGTTGGAGATATTAGAAACATTTCAATTTTTTACTGTTATGAATAATGTTAGAGAAATTGTTACACTTTAGATTGTACCTCCAAATTGCTGCAGAAATACACCCCAAAATGTTGTTTCTCTCCCTACCAAAGCCCAAGGCCCACCTTAGGGAGCGGTGAAGGAAGGCAAACCCCTGCAGTGTCAGGGAACCTCTAACGGAGGGCCGTAGAGATGTGCTGAAACCTCAAAGCATACTCAGTTATCTCCGCCTTTCTGGGGACAAGCATGGAAGGAAGAATTTGAATCTAGCTATTGCTAATACTTGCATGCTCACTGGTCCGGAAATTTCCTCGATAGCATGTGCCTAACCATTTCAGATAAAGTCTTTCTGCAATCTATTTTTTTAAGTATCTTGCTGTCCACACAGCCCTATTTAGTGGCTGCAGAGAACAGCAAGACAAAACTGCTTCCATACGCTGTTTTCAGGCTTTTCTGGTTAGTTGGGAAGGTGGGGTTACCCTGGATAAAGCTGTATATGTTGCAGACTGAAGAGGGAAGATCTGTCTGCACATTCTCAGAAGAATTGCTGATTTCTCTCCAAAAGATGTACTAATATCAGTTGTCAGCTGACTAGTCAGCTGAATTTTGCTACATGATTTATTTGCTAAAAACAAGCTGTTTCTTGGGAGCTATTAACTTGATAAATCAAGTTGCTGCTAATGTAACTAAAGATATCTTACTGGCATTGAGTTACTGCTTGTCATGCTGTGTCATGCTCTAATGGTAGTAAAGTGCCTGCAAAGCAATTTTATTGTTTACTCTTATGCCTGTGTAAATAGCTAATTTATCCTAATGACTAGATGGGACATAATTGGAAGTGAGTTTTCAAGGATGTAATATGCATATTAATTATGAGTGTGAACTGGCCATCAGGAAGACTCTTGTCTGCTTGATCCTCTTAACGCTGGTAAACATCATTATCTTTTCTAATGAGCCATGATGACTGAAAGTAGTACTGTTCTACTCTGGGAGTCTGTTGTGGATGTCTGGTTACCAAAACAATTTCCCCAACCAGTTTTCAACAGATTAAAAATGCTCTCCAGAGCTCCTGAACTTAAAAGATCTAGCCTTTTCTTTTTTTTTTTTTTTTTTAGGCTTATATCCCTGACAAAAGAGGTAGTGTGGGTGGCACTGGGGCAATGCATTAGGAAAGCTGGATTCTCCTCACAGCTCTACAGCTCTGTGCTTGTCTAGTCCTGTGTGACCTTGGAGAAGTGGCTTTCCTTCTGTAAAGTAGGGCATGAAAAAGGGTAGTGGTTGCAACCAAAGGTCCCGGAGCACTGAAAGGTCCACAGAATCTTGCTACAGGAAACCCTTCGGTGTGCTGCAGCCAGCAAATGTTTCTGTGCTTTCCTGTTAAAAGGATAAATATGTGGGAGGGAAAAAACCAAAATTCAACTCTTAGGACACACAAAATATTTTTACACAGTGGAACTGTTAAATCACTTTCATTGAGAGAATGAAAATACTCCGTAGCAGAGACACTGTATCAAATCCATACAATACTATTACAGAGAGCATGTGAGAAGCAGCAGCATATTGTTGGCTTAGTGTTGCTCTTGCCTTTGTTGGAAGATATTTAAATATTTCATAATGTATCTTTTGGAAGTCGGAAAGTAACCAGTTCATTCATTGTAACTATATTGGCTTCCCCAGTTGATTCACCTCATTCAGCTGCTGGTTTGTGGCTTGATCAGTTTGCAAGTGAAAAAAAAAAACATGTAAAAAGTTAAGCCTGGTTGAAGCAAGTTTGGTTTTTTTATTAATGCAAGCACATCCAGTCAAACACAGAATATCCTGCTTTATGGTACAGCTTTATATTTAGCATTTCATCTCAGAATAGCAAAACACAGTATTCAAGGAATGTATCAAACAGAGGGAGGAAAAATAAAAAGGAACCAATGTGGATACTGCATTGATTTCAAGTATATACTAGGACTGATTGACCGGTGAAGTGCACATTCATGTGAAAGCTTTTTTTTATACATTTACAGAAAGTGTTCTAAAATTGCATTTCAAATATATATTTTTTTCTTAAATTTTAAGCATCCCTTTTAAATTTCAATTACATAAACAAAGCTGATATACAATCCCTCTTATAATGTCTGACAACGTTACTAGCTAGAACATCTCTGAAAGTGCAAAACACTGTAATAATACAGTATAAATATTCTTACTCTAATCCAGGGCTGAAGGTCAGTACTTCAGCACAGGAAAAATAGCAGCAGATCATAAGAATTATCCCTTCCCCTTTTCAGGGCTGTTCTTTGTTAACAGTTAGTATTCTACTTCTTCCTTCTTCATGGCCTAACTTGCTTTTGTTTCTCTTTGATGTCAATGCTATGGGAATAGCAAAATGTTGATTTATCTCCCTTTCTTACCCCAACTTACTCTTCTAATTTTAAGTATTTGCCTGGGGGGGGGGGGGGGGACAGAGAGAGAGGGAAGGCTCTTTAATTTTTCACTGCACTACAGGGCCAATACAGCAAATAATTTCTACTAAGTGATTACAGATGCTACATTAAATAGTGGCACTGCATTTGGTTGTAGGCACTCAGCAAGAAGAGTCTACTGGACTGGAATAAGCCAGACCCTCAATCCAGCAAGTCTTGCCCCTTCTTCAACAGAAAGCAGAATAAGTTCAAACCCATGTATTTAGAGCTGATCATTTTTTAAAAGAAGCTTGTCCAAAGGTCCTCTGTGAGGCTCTGAGGGAGGCTGTAACCACTGTAAACTCTAGAGAGCCTTTTTTTTTAAAAAAAAAAAAAAAAAAATCTAATTGTCTGGCTCAAGTCATTACCTTTAGAAATATCAAGCCCTCAAGCCCAAAGAGAACAATTACTGGAAAGGACAATCGATATTCATGGGTAATAATTTCTTCATTAGACAAAATAGTTTTTAATCTGGGACTATTTTTTTTCTTTCTTAATTCAGAGATCAGGTGAGAAAGTAAGTCCTGAACGGTATTTCTTTTCCTGGAAATTAATATCTTGAATCTTAACATCAGGTGCTCATTTGGATAGCCAGATTAGGTGTAAGCTGAAGACTAAAAGGAGAAGTTAGAAATGGTAAGCATCAGCAGGTTTACAGATCACCTCTAATTTTCGTACTGACCTTAGATTTCAGTGGGTTCTGGCCCAGACAGTTAATCATGGCTTGCAAAATACTAGAAAAAGCTTATATTGTGAATTGGTCTTTGCTTTAATTGTCTATAAGTGCAGACTAGCATTTTCAAAGGAACCAAGGGAATGAAATCGCTAGTTCAGTGGTGGTGAACTCTTCTTAAGCTTCTTTGGCAATTTTAGCCTTAACTTCGAATTGGACATCTGAGTTTACTTCCTTCTCCCTAGCTCATGTATGATTTTTACTTTCAAAAATCTTTCAAAAAACCATATTGAGCCTGTTTTGCAGAGATAATCCAGGTTAGACATCCCTCTCTTAAACAAAACAAAAAATTCCCTGATTTTTAAAATTGAAAACACAAACTATTCTGATAGCCAGAATTTAAAGGATAGTTCCCAGAAGTATTAAAACTTAGACATGTGTGCATCTTCACATGTGCGCACACACATACTCACACACAAACACACGTTCCCCCAGCAATTACCCCATCTTATCTCTTTAAATCATGTAACAAAAATATGTTTGCTGCACCATCAATGTTACAGGCAGGTATACTCTGCTTCATGTGCCTTATTCTCCATTTTATTTAAAAAGTACATTGTAGCTGGTTTCAAGACATCCATATTTTTATTTTCTTTGCTTCCAATCCAGAGTAATAGAAGGTACACTAAACGATGTCAGTACCTTGTAAGGCACTATTTTCTGATGTAGGAGAGGAACGTGCTTACTGCAGATATCTAAGGTCTTGACTCTATGAACACTTGCTAACAAATGTGAATGGTATCGCTGATTTGAAGGAGACCCTTCACTTCAAAGCTAGAGATGTGTTGAGTGTTCTGTAGGACACTGGTCCAATGGAGCATTTAACCTGAACACTGGCTTTAGTTGGGATGTGTGTGTTAATTCTTATTTATTTTGGTGGAAGTAATAATAAATAAAAATTTGGATGCTGACAGAGTAAGATCTCTCCAGGGATACCATCTCCCATGATACATTTCATCTCTGAGAACAGGGCCCTGCCCTTATATTTAAAATAAAAAACCAAAACCCTTCACTTAAGTGCCTTAAGGTTGACATGTGAAATATTTACCACATTTTAGTTCATAAAAGTTACTGTATATACAAAACAGACCTCAGCCAGTGAGGTCTTTCTTAGCTCAGTCCAAGTCATTCAGGTTGTAAAAACATGTTCATTCAATGTGCTTCAAAGTCTGCAGATCAGATCCAAAAATCTCAGGCTCTGTTAAGCAGAGTTGTCCTAGAAGAAGTAGCAATAAAAAAGAAAATTATATTTTCTATCACAACAAAAGGTTTTACAGTTTTGGTAAAGGTTAGCAATAGATCTATCTTGTATCATTAGCTGGAAGCCTTTCTTCAAGGGATAGATTTCCAACTGCTATAAACTGAAATACACCTATGAAATCCAACAAAGATGCTGACTTTAAATGAAAATTTAACTTTTGTAACATTACTTCAGGCCCTTAAGATGTGCTCAGGAAAATAACATATGTTCCTCTGTCATTCTAAACTATTTCTTGCTGCACACTATGGGAATTATCGCAAGGTGCATTGCATGGGTGTCGTAAGTGAAAAGCTTATATGGACTTCCTAAGAAACATTGGGATCACTGGGAAACAGTGTCTCGTCTAGGACAATACAGTCATAATGTAGCTCAGCTGCACCTCAGGACATACAGGCTTCTTCCTTCATTTTTTATCTAGTATAGATATGTCAAATCCAAATGTTTAACATGATTTACAAAGGTCTAAGTCTCTTTTTCTGTCTTGGCCTCAGTGTTAGAAGAAATCGCATCTAAATTAACTGATCTGCTGATCTTGTCATGTACATGGAAAAGGTACTTCCCTCTCCCAGAGGGAGGAGGAGGAGTCATTGAGACTTTCTCCCTTAACAGTAGGCTGAAAATCAGAGTATTCATATAAAATTTAATCCTTTTATGAGATTTGTAAGTGCATAGGTATGATTAATAACAGCACCTTCTTAGGATCTATAAATTTGTTTTCCTGAGAAAAGCATGTCTGAAAATTGCTACAAATGTAGATTCTTTTACTGTGTTTGATAGCCTAAACAAAACATATTCTCTTTCATAGTCCCAGCAGCGATCTTCCTAGCCAGATCAGTTCAGGCTGCAAAGCTGTATTAAAATCCAAACCTTACTGAATTTTTTCAGAATTGAATTTTGAAGAAAAAATAATAGTATTTGGGCCAAAATAGTCTTAAGGTGGGTATGCAAATAGGAGGGAGGAATCTGATCACGTGCCTGTGTGTGTCTGCAAAGAGACTCATATTCTGAGGAAGCTTCATACCTGAGTGTTTTCCAGCTGTCTTTTTCCATGTGGTTTTCTGGACCTTCACTTTCAAAGGATGCAATGAACAGAGCTAGTAAGTAAAATAAGAACAATCAGGTACATGGGTTCTTTAACTGAAAAAAAAAATAAAGTTACAGTATAGCAGGTGTAACTTAGCAGACTTCATTATGAAGTTTATTCTCATCAGAAGCCTATATGGAAGTGGTAAAATACATTCCTATAAATTTTTTTTTTTACATTAGTTTACCTGCATATTCTGTCTGCATTTCAACAAGTAGGAAGACTCACTATTATGTTCAATAAAGGATTTTACCTTCTTCACTGTAAATGGGTGCCGTGAGTAGATAGCTCTGTATCTTCTTGTCTTTCTCAAAAGGGCACTCAACCTGCTTCCATGTCAGGAAATCATGAATCTGTCTTGAAATTTCCCAGAACTTCTGCATTGGATAATTAAAAGAATATTACTAAAATCATACTTGTTTTCTTTCAAATTTAGTTCTTTTGTTTCAATTTTGGAGTCTCTCAGTCTTATTCATGCTTCTTCTGTTATTATCCCTTACTTGATCTTCTTCCTTGTTACACTTTCTTCTTACTGCTCCCTTCATCTCCCCCTTTTGCTCCTAGTTCCTCATCTGTTGTTAGCCTCTCAAGTTTAGAATAGTCTATCCCTGCTAACCACCTGGTCTTTCGCATGAAATTCTTTTCATCATCAACCTTTTCTTCATATAATAAAGTGCTATTGGCCTGTTTTATGTGTCATATCTCTAAATTAGCCTGCAAATGGAACTGGTCAGTAAATGGTTTTTATTTGCTTTACTTTTTACATTTCTGACCTTCAACTTAAATGAAATGTGATATACCTGATTTTTTTCATAAAGCACTTTTTAAATTTAAGAAATAATCAAAATAACATATAGAAACTACAGATATCCTTTCCTTCCTAGGATTTTAAGAAATGCATAATTACTTAGGGTTTGTCTTGTATGTTCTGTGTGCCCCCCTCCCATTACCCAGCCTTAATAACAGCAAAAAACTTCAAAAGTACTTTTTTCAGGCTGTAGTCTTTGGGCCATGTATGTTTATTAGGGAGAGAGAATCCAGAAACTGTAGAAAATCCCTTGAAGACCTGCTGTTACCATTTGCTTGTTGTGTGCAGCATTTATAGCTAGCTAACCTGATGAGGTTAAATCGGCTAATGCTGATGATTTAGGGTGAAGTTACCTATTACAGTTTGATCAAATATGATGGCTTCCTGCTGCAGAAAAGCTTACTTTCCGTTCTTTACTTTCCATTCTTTACTTTCTTCCGCTTCACCCAGTCCCTTTTGAACATAAGGCAAGTTACAGGGCTGAAGAGTGGCAAATTTTGGTCTGCCATCAGATGTGGTACACTAAAATTCTTGCGCTTCTTGATTTCAAGTTCTTTATTTTAACTGTTGCATGAGTACAACATTGCTTGAAGAAATTTCTCTTTCCCATTACCTAACATTAGACTATTTCTGCATTACTTAAGTAATTTTTAATGCTTGGGTCTGGCTTCTGAAATTCTTAATGTCTTCTCCATCTTTTCGTGCATCAGTTTTGGTAACAAATCAATGTCATTCCAGTCAGTTCTGCTTATATGAATTTTATGATTTGCTGTGCATCTGCCCCATTGCATGTAAAACTAACAAAAAATAATCTCTATTTCAATACGTTTTAAAACTTGTCTTTTTAACTGAAGGCAATTACATTCCAGCAGTTTTATGGATTCTCTTTTTTATATGCAATCGTGGATCTGCTGAATGTATAATATAAACATGGCAACTGCAAGTGCTAGCTTTCACAGAAGTTTGGTGAAATCATTTCCCCTAGATAATGATATTCCTTTATGTCTAGATTGCGGCAATGCTGAAGGAATTGGTAATATAATGAGCTAGAAGTTCAAAACAGGCAGATTTTTGTAATGTACAATGTTTAACTAGCGTTACAGTTTCTATAATAGCAAAGTCCTACCTTGAAGTTTATTTGTCCATTGGGCAAGCGGTTCGTATGTATTTTGTGCAGAAAGTAGATATCTTTAATAAACAGGTTGAAAACTGGGATGACTATTTTCTCTCGATTGCTGTTGGCAGTCTGAGATCGCTGTGCTGCTCCTTGCAGGGCTGTGCGGTAATTACAAAAGTTGCTGGATGGATCCATGTGATGCTGTTTTTATGAGGGGGGGGGAAAAGGCAGTCAAGTAATACATGTTTTCTGAAAAGAAAAGGTTTTGATCTAACCATAGGAGTTCATTCTTTATGAATTTGTTAGGCCTCTCTTTAAACTTTCAAGATAGAGTACATTATACTAATCGGGTCTGGATTCAGGTTTTTCTAACTTCTACTTTGTTTGAAAGGAAGGTTCTGTACTGGCTTTACATCTATGCTTTGCTTCAATGGTTAATGGAAGACTGAAAGGAATTGATAACTGACTATAAGAAAAAAAAATAATTCTAACTTGCCACCAATCTTTCTGATCACGATCTCAGTAAGTTTTGTTTTCAGATCTCCACTAGATGGAGCACTCTAATTAGTTTTAAGGGTAGCAAAATAGCATTCACTCGAGTGGAAAACTACCTTGATGTTAAACTGGAAAAAATATACTAGGAAGAAATAACCTAAAGAAAACTTGCATCACTTTTCTTTGCAGGCAAATAGGGAGTTTGAAATTCAGGAAATATTCTCTCTCATGTTTCTATGCTGGTGACCACTGACAGATGCCTCTGTGATCTCTGACTTGGTAATTCCACAGCAGAGGTTTGGATGAAACTATTGGGTGGATTTCTATGTGAAATCTAAACTTCATGCTTACCTCTAAAACATCAAATTTGGCTGTTTTGACCTTGGACCAAGTTTTCTTTAGCCGTGCCACAGGACTCAAGTTCATGCCAGCTGAATGGAGAGAGAAGAGACAAAGAAAGAAACAACTGAGTTGAAAAAATACAGTGCTAACATAACTCTGTGTTTATGTATCAGCACCACACATTTTGGAAGGCAGTTCAGCTTGACAAACAAAAGTTGTAGCTACCACTTGCCCACCCACATGTTAATTTGTCACTGTAGATTAACTGTCACACGTGCTGTCCCTACAGGAGCGTGCATGATGATGTGGACAGCAAATTTAGGGCAAGTATGAGCATAGTCTTGCCAGTCAGGTTGTAAAATGCAGTGCCTTTTGTCATTTGCGTTAAGGATACTCACAGATAATAGCCATCATTGAGTTGAAGTTTCCAATATTGAAACATTCTCTTGCCACATCAATGAAAAATTCCACCATTCTTGTACGCTGCTTTTTCTTTACAACCTGAAAAAAAACAAAGATCTGGTAAGAGGGAAGGGATGGCCTGAATTTTGGATGGGATGTTCAGTCAAAGGCATTGTAACAGGTTGATTGAATAAGCATTTCAAGAATTTATCCAGCTAAACCTTATGATGATATAGACCTGAAGGTATTTTGTTAAGATTAATTTTTAATAAAATAGCAGAAATATTTGGGGCTACTATCACTTATTTGTCTAGTTGTGGAGGAGTGTAATTTTATGTTTATACATAAAGTTCAATGTCTTAGGGAATCTTGTATAAACAAGATGGACATTTTCAGCAATTTCCTGCTACTGGAAAAGGGAGATAACATGAAGCTGCTATCAGAAAGAGTATGTGCAAAAAAATTTAAACCTCTGAAGAAGGAGGGAGAGCAGTGGACAGACTTAAGACCAAGGGCATGTAACCTGAATGTGAGAGAGAACAATTGCCATGTCCTGATTTTCTCATTTTGCTGTGTACACTCTTAAATGATCTCTTGAGAGCAGGTAGTTATGATGACCAAATATACAAATTCCCACTCATGCAAACATGCAAAGGATCTAGCAAGTGATGCTGAACATCTGCTTTGCAGATTCTTTTATAAATGGCAAAGCAAAATTAATATATGGCACTGTCTCTAGACTGTTTCCAAAAGCCATCAATCTTTCTCTCTCTTTTTTTTTTTTTTTAAGCTAGTATTATTGCCTAGATTACATTCATTCATCAAAATCTTCCCCATATTTAGATCTAGAAGTCTGGTCTGGCTTATACAAAAATGCCTCCTGAGTGGTGACTGCAGACTACTTCACCAGGGAATTTTTTTTAAAAAAAAACCTCTCTTGCCTAAATACTTCCGTTTGTGTCATATCAAAAGAAAACGGTTCAGTAGTCAGTGGCTTGGCTTAGCCCTTGGTCTGCTAAAACCTTTTGTTTGACTAGTTTACTAAATGTATTAGCCATACCAGCCAGCTCTGGAAGATGTCTTGGTGTGTTTTTGTAATAAGTTTCTGTGAGAGCAGGAAACCTTAAGAAATTAAGATCAATATATCAGACTTCATGAAACTCGCAGTAGGCATCTGGTTTTCCACAGAAGGGCTACTGACCAAGCAGGAATAGAGAGAAAAATTCCCATTTGCTAGAATTGGTGCATATTAATAGGTATCTAAAAAGACAAAGAATACACATGAGAAATAAAAAAAGGGGCTTCTGGGACAGTATGCCTTCAATTTCTTTGCTTATTATATGATAGAAGTTACTTTAACCTCTAATAAGGCCGTTCTCCCTCTTATTTTTTTTTTTAACCTCTCCAGTAGTTCACTTTCTTTCCAGAGTTCTGAGGAAAGCTTATTCCTGACTATTCTGCAACAAAAATGAATATATGACAGTGCTAATGACATCTAAATGCAGTGGAAGGACAGCTGTTTATTGGTAAATCTGCATTTAAAGCTACCTTTGAGAATTTATGGATGTATTTAAAGGGAAAAAAAAAAAAAAATCCAGAAGAGCTCCTAACTCAAACTCCACACAAGTTTCACTTCACTGCATTTCACTACTATGGAAGCTACATGAAGCTAGAGAATATATGCAAAGCCAAACATAGCCATGAACTCTTAATCATATAAGCATGAAAATAATTTAATGCTTGAGTAATGCCATTATCTTTAATTGCACTGCTTAAGTTTAAATCTCTATTGGACCACTGCCTGCCTTTTGTCCTTAAGGCCAGGATCACTTTGCTATCTTGTTTTCTATGAATACCTACCCGACAAATCTCTGTAGCCACCAGCATGCTGAGACAATTGAACCAATTGTCATAGGCCTCCAAATTATAGGTTTTGGTCACATCACCTCGGCACTGTAAGAGACCAGGCCACATGTTAGTCCTATCCTGTATCAAGATAAAGTCAACATACCAAAGGATAAATTTCCTTTTCATGTCTTGATAACATCTTGTTGGATATTTTTTAAGGCATGAGCTTAAAGAAGGTTAGAAAATGTCAGCCTTCATTGCACAGGGTATACTTGAATTATGGAGGTTCTTTACCCTGGTTATTTGTTTCTTTTTCCCTCTGTACCCCTTTTTTTACCTTGTGATTATCCAGGGAGTCCATGTGGCTGACAATCTGCATCAGATCCTCTGGGTAAATGTTGCTCACCCTTTCCTGTGTTTGGAGAGATGAGAGATTGTCACTGTACAGACAAACAGGGAGTTCAGTGAAAAACTCCTCATTAAAGCTGAAGTTAGGAGAACATTATGGTAACTTTCATCTTCCTACAGTGTAGATATGTGAGGTGTTTTTATCGGTGTACCTAACTGGGCTGGTTCATTACTTGGTATTTTTTGATTAAAACATTGGAGGCTTTCAGTGAAGCCGTAGCAAAATTCATATTGATGAGTATATTAATATTTAGTAAATTGAAAATGAAATAATTTACACACATTAGTGTCTCACCAGTTCAATATAGGTCAGCTGCTGTGCCAAGATCAGAGGGTCACAGCACACGCTCAGGATGTCCTTTTGAGTTGACTGTGGCTTGGTTTTGAGGATGGTGCCTTTGTCGGTAACAGGTTGCCGGAATTTCTCTCTGATTTCCTGGTACTGGCTCCGTGCGGAGAGGGCCATCAGGAGATTCTGTGTCATCTGGCTAATGATCTTTTTCACTGTTCCATTTTCCTAAGCAAAAGACAGAAACAATGACTGCTAAAAACCTTTAGCTTTTTGCAGGCACAGATTGTGAAAGAATTTCTGACTGGGAAAAATAAATGCCTATTATCCATTTTCTTTCATCTTATCTGAGCTGATCATCTTGTGACAAATGAACTTGTCCAAACTGGCCACACAACTTCATAACGACATTATGCCTGCCTGCCTTCCCAGCTCTGTTTCACTTGCTTGGCTGGTCTGCTCCTTGTGGCAGTACCCCATTTTAGAGGCATCCATGTAAACAGCTTAGAAGTGCACACAGTGAAAGGTGGTTGAGTTGCTTGCACAAGGCTTCTTGGATCCTCTTTGTACCAAGTGCCAAAAAGCTCCTTCTCATTCTGATCAGACCCACTGATGATCAAGTCTGGCTAGCCCAGGCAGAATCCAGGGAATTCACATTATGCCCAGGACTATACCCCTAAAATACCCTGGCTTGGCTGTGAACAACTACAGCATCTGAAGATTTAGGTAAGAGCACAATATACATCACGTTCTTGCACAACTAAAATGCCTTTCTGTTCATCAGATGCAGGTTTTAAACATGGGATCTATAAAGGTGCATACTGGTAAAGCCATTGAAATATAATCCATCTGCTCAGTGTTCTGACAGCTAAGGCAAACTGAATTCTTTCTGCCATTGTTTGTTTGTGTCCTATAGATATTTCTCTGAGATCAATCCTGAAGAGCTAAATTGACATCTTTCCTACTCTTCCATCCCTCCTGTTACTGCTTTAAATGACACAGGTTCTCCAACCCTGTTCTTCCTGCTGCTGGAAAAACTAATTCTACCAAAGACAGTCCTCCTCTTTCCTACACAATTGTTCACTTGCTCTCATGCAAAGTATTTCTCTTGAAGTTAGCCTCAAGGTTAACCATTAGTTTAGAACCTGCTGTGTTGGGTTTTGCCAGTCATCTAGATGCGCTACGAAGAACTGCAATGAATCTGTGATCATTCAAAGAAGCCACTAATGTGCAGTGATGACTGAAATTATGTAGCAGATGTGAGAGACGATGACTACCAAATACTTGTATATTGCATGCTATAATTAAGCAATAATAGTGTTAGAATGTTGCTTTACAAGGCAATAAGCTGACTCCCAAGTGAAATCAAATGAGAAGCTGAAGGCCATGTAGCTCATCTCGAGGCAACTAGATTACCGCTGAACAGCAGCTGGCTGGAGCCGTTTCTGATATTGTGCTACAAGTGTTCAGAAATGCCAAGGGAGCATGATGGGGGGACTAAAATAAAGCACTAATTCTGCGCTCTCGTATGCTGAGCTTTCTATTGTAAATCATTTGACTTCAGCTGCTATGCCCGACTTACCCATGTATCTGAGAGGAAGCAGAGTTTCTAGGTACAGATCATAGAAAATCAAACTTGAAGGCAGGTGAGAGTATCATAGGTACTATGTGAAAGTGAACAAAGAAACTGTAGTGACATGAAAAACTATGGCTTACTTAAGCTATTGTGAATTTATTAATCACTAGGACAAGTACCTGACCGCTTTTTGTGAGCTGTCAGTTGACTTTCTATCCTGTGTATGGAGAATAGTGTCCTAAGGGGATTTGGAAAAGCTTGAAAATACAAAATAAAGCCCCAAACCATTACCATAATCCCTTGCTGAAGCACAGTATAGGTAATTTCTTGTGGTAACAAATACTGAGAGCAAAAGCTGCTTTTTGTTAGTGTCAAACTATGTTTCTTAGGGGTCCTATGTGGCATAGCTCTTCACTGATCAAACTTGACTTGTAGCCTTGTTAAGGGGATAAATATGGTGATGCTGTAATTAATGGATGTCACCAGATGCCTCGGACATCAGACCACTGAGCCACTCAATGAAGACATGTTTTTCTCAAATGACAATTTATTCATACATAACAGAGTAGGAGGGAAGGGGAAGGGAAAGAAAGGCCACAACTTCTTTCTAGTTCAAAGTAACAGACAAATTAAATACTAAGATACAAATGCTACATAAAATCTCTGCCAAGTCCCCTTTCACAGTAGTATCTCTGCCAACATACACCTCTTCGCCCTTGTCTACAAAGGGACTAGAAGGCATGTTATAATTGTATTTCCTTTTCCCCTCCCACTAAGGCACTGACTTTTTCGTAGTAGCATCCAGGTAAACAGCTTTGCTGATGCAACAAAACTGACGTGCTTCCTTTTGACAACTTGGTAACACCTAATCGTATTGTGTCTTATCACTGATTCATGCAGTGCTGTCAAACCTGTTGTTCCTCATTTTCTCTCTACTTGAATCAACAAAAACACATAATACAATTGTCTTCCCATTTCCTGCTAATTGTTCTCAAAAATATCTTGAAGTTGTGGGTTTAAAAAACAAGGAGAAGCTTCTACTTCTACATAAGTAAGCCTTTATGTTCTTACAAATGCTTTACAATTAATTCCCTTGCAGTTCTTGATTCTATCCTTCCTTCGGTCTATCGGTAGTTAGTGTCTTTCCTGATGAGAAAAAAATGTAGGCTTTGTGAGTGTTGGGGGAGGGGGGGAACCCAAACCAATAACCAACAAAAAACCAAGCAGAAAACTAACAGCCCTTGTTTTATTTGAATTTGCTTTATCTGATTGCTTTAGAAAAGTATTTTGTGAGGTCTGGTTTCCTTCATAGGCCAGAAACTCAGAGCTGTTAAAACTGGTGACCAACTAGCTAGCAGAGCTCAAATATAACTTCCTTTGTGGAAATACTGTGCATGTCAGCTGAAACATAGCAACAAAATAGTTGCTGATTATTGTTAGGAGCTAGCAATGAACTATTAAATAATAAGCATCTTCACCTTGAGCAACAGTACATTTCATACAACTAAATGTCTTGCGGGACTTGGATGTATAGAATAGTAACAAAGTATAAAGGATGGTACATAAGTAATTACAAAAGTTAACTATATTGCACTATTATAGTCGGTGTTCTTTCCTTTCTTCTGCACCACATCCGTTTTTCGTATCATTGTGACTCTCTTCTCTTCCTCTTATGTTTGGTAATTATACATAGACAGTTTCTGCTAATGGACTATTAAGTTCATTGCTCAACCCGTGTCCTGCAGTTACACTGACAGCTTAGCAACTGCTGCTGTAGTCCATTTAGAAAATACTGCAGGCAGGAGCATGGGTTTGTATATAATATGATAAACTATATATAAAGGTTGACAAATATTGCTTTACCACTTAATGGTTTTTCTCCCCCCCACCACCCCTACCTCATCACATTGTGTGATCCTGTGAGCAATCTCCTTCAACTCTTTCATGGATTTTTCATCTTGGAAATCATAGGGGAAAGTTTCAGTCCATTCCTTCAGGAGCTGAATGATTTTGGCAGCGAAGGATTTTAGCTTTGCCTAAAAAGAAACAATTAGTTGATTACTGACCATAGACCTTTCTGACTGCAGAGTAAATTAGCCAATGAAGGTTCACATAAACCTAGAGACACTCTTGAAAATACTTTGCATTAGTAGTAGGTGAAGGGTATAAAAAAAGAACACATTTAACTGTGAGCCAGATTCCCAAATAGTATGATTTAGCCTCCTTTCATGATAGCTTGGTAGTGTCTCTTGCCAAACACTTTGAAGATATTTTCAAGGTTAGTTGTATAAAGCCAGGAAGATGACAGAATAGTTTAAGTGACTTATTTGATTGACTTCAATGGGACTTAAGCTGATTTATGCCATCTGAAGCAGCAGTACCTTAGCATTTGGATTCAAATGCATACAAACTGCAGCACTCTACCACGCGTCTTTCATGAGAAACATTCACAAAGACATTTTTGTTCTGTAGAATTTATCAGAGCCTCCAGATTGAGCTATATATTAAAATAAATGAAGGACAGGAAAGATGTGTATATTCTCTCTCTAACGTCTAAATCAAAATGGACTTTGAAAATAAAAAGTATTGGCTCTTACTCAAAAAGCTATCAACCACAGAAAGGGGAGGGAAAGCTGTATTCTAAGTTGTTACCCGTGAATCTTCTAAGGCTTTTCATCAGTTAGACCTGAACTGGGTGCCAGTTTAGTCCGCTATCATAGCAACAGAGAGCAGGATCAGTAAATTCAAGGGAGCACTCTTGCAAAATTGGGAGTGTCGGTGCTAAGAACTCTTTTAATGAACAAGAAGAATCAAAACATAATCAGGTTATATTTATCCTCCTGCCCAACTTGTGATGCACTGAGGAAAAAGGAAGTTTTAATTTGTGTTTACCTCCCCATTTGCATAAGCTACAGAAGTCCCACTACGCAGCAGTTCCTTCTCCCCACGCACAGTGCGCTTTCCTCATTGCACTTTCCATCAGCCTCCCAGGGGTTACAGAAGGTGACTTAGCATGTGAGTGTCACTACAGCAAATTGGTGTATTTTCTTTAAGACACATAGAGAACGTCTTCCAAGAATTTATAGGAACTCCTGCCAAAGCATCATCTGATCATACTATGTCCCAGTTTATTTAATCAAAGCCATGCACCCTTGAATCTTCAATCTGAAAATGAACCAGTGCTCCTTGAAAGTCTGAAGGGAATTTTCTTGCTTTTTTTTCAGAGCTGCAAACTGCACTCTGTTTTTATTGATAGCATTTAATTGATCCTGCCTAGTGAGAGAAGGACCGAATAGTTGGACAGTGAGGGCAAGAACAAAAACATCAACATACTCTTCACCAGCAGTAGGCAATGCCACTCCTGTGGAGCCTGGCTTCAAGGTATTTCTGAACAGTGTGGGATAGAGTTCCAGATGATAGTTGTCTGTCCTCCAAACTCCCATTGTCATCTCCCTTGGGGAAAAGACAATTTATACTTCTTTGACAGGAAATGTATGGAGTCTGACATTATTAAAAGAATAATCTGTAGGTGGTGATAAAGAATTGATTAGCCAGCCAGCAGGCTTCTATTCGATGAAAGTTAACAGGTATGTGCCTACTCTTTGTTTACCAAAAGCTGCTACAGAACTGTTTTTTGGTATTAATTAACCTGACTATCCTTTCTTTTTAACTTTTGAAACTGAAAAAGGATGGATGGGGGCACGAAGGTTCCAAAACCCTCCTTAAGCCATGGCAAACATCTCCATATGAGCACTGACTTCCCATTTCATGTATCTACTCATGAGGTGCTAGGGTTTGCTTCCTTCATGATGGAAAGCTAGGAGTCTGTTGCAAGACAAACTGCAAACCATATTATTCTTCATGTAATTACTCTTCAGGTGTAAAAAAGCTTAATGTTTTATCAGATGCATTTAATACTCATGAAAATAAGGTATGCTTTCTGAGAGCAACACTAAAAAAAAATCAATATAGCAAAACATGAGATTCCCATTTCATGTGTGCTCTGATGAAACCCAAAGCAGTGTGACAGCCTTGATGCACATAATTTGTGATAACCTAGATAGAAATCACACAGATATGTGGGTGGCAGCACGCATTTTCCTTTTTTGTCATGGTTGCAATAAACCTACAAACCTACTTTTTCTGTAGTGCTACTCCAGATGTGAGCCTCCTCTTATGAGCCCTGACACAGATTTCTCTGAAGTCTATGGGAACGCTTCTCCCATAAATATTTCTTTGAGAAGAAAAATACTTCTATCAATTTAAGTACTGTGAGTCAGCCATGGTCTGCATGAGACAAGACAGACAGGACTGAGAAACAATTACCAATTAGAAAGGAGGGCAACAGCAGTACTGTGCTTGTAGAAAAAGAAGGTTTAATGACAATGACCCAGTTGTGAGTATTGTTTTGATTTTGTTGTTTTAATTTTTTTGTTTTAATAAGGAGAACTTACTGAGGGAAGTCATAATTTTTGAAGGGACTTACGTATTCCAAGACAGGCAAGATAAGCTTAACAGAAACTAACTTTCTCTTTATTTCTTCTTTAACTGTTGATTTACAAAATACCCTCAAGCTGCAGACATAACGCACCACAGTTTTAACAACAGGTTTTTCTGCTGAATAATACTATACAAGTGTTTTTATTTAGTATGTGTATGTATTTTGTATAGTATGTGTATGAACAAGGTGTGACAACTTTGTTCAGGTCTTTCCAATCTCTAATGGGCTTACAGAGGGTTAAACTTTATCCTTTATGGTCAAGCTTAACTACTGATTTGTATATTATAATTGGTGTCTTAAACTGTGAACCCCTTCCTTTTTATAAGTGGTCGAAAGGACTCTAAGCGGGCTTCACAACATCCCAGAGTGTTTTTCTTTTTAATCCATTTTTCTCTGGGTTGTTTTCTATAGGACTCTTTGGCTAGTCAGTAACGTCAAAAACAAAGGAATGATAAGTATTGTGGTATGTAACCTCAAAAACTGGCTCCTTGCCACTTTTTCAGCTCACACGCTATCCAGGCAACAAGTCAGCTGGCTTCTCGTCTTAAGAGATTTGCATAAGCAAACTCTATCAGAAATGACCAGAGCTGCTTTAACTACTTTTGCCAGCTATTTCCTGCTATGGAGCCACTTAATTAGAAGGTGCTGGTACCTAATGATACCTTAACGGGTTATGACTGTGAATATGTAGAGTGTCTTGAGTCGAGAATTTCTATGCTGCATGTGAAATGAGCTTTTATTTGTTGCCAGATAGAAAAACAAATGTTTGCAAATGCAAGTGGCCAGACTATGCTATACAACATACAGGTGCTTGCAGTAGAGTAGTCATTTGAGAGGGTTGTCAGAAGTTTATGTAGTGTTTTCAAAGAATTTTGTGTTTAGTGGACAGGAAAAAATTACAGTTTATATTAAGGGGCTAGGAAGGGATCAAGGGCATAGTAGGAAAAGCAACCAGCAAAGCATGTAAATTAAAGCAGCCTCCTAAAACACTCATGTTTTATTGTCACCCTGCTGTTTGTTGGTTTTCCTGTAGGCCCATTTCCAAATTTTCAGCAGAAGATGTAAAAGTGTGGGTGTTTGGAATATAAGCTGCTCTATTTTACATCCTGTTGTTAGGATGTAATGCTATTTCATTTCAATGTGGAAGCCATGATTTTTTTAACACATCTGCTGAAAAGCCGGAATAATACTACTTTACAACTAATATCTAATCTTTAAACAGCCAAGTGATTTAGTCCCCAGATACTGTTTTAATTTTAAAATCTAAGTGTATTGTTATTCACAGACGTTTCATCCTGTATCCCATTATTTTTAAATCTAAGTACTTCACATATGTATTCTGACACTACCTACTGACAGCAGTCTTCCCCTTCATATGTCTACAGATGAGCTTTACTCATTCCATGCTTCAGACAGTCCCAGCATCTCTTACAAGTTCCTACCTCTGTTGTTTAGTTACATATTGCTGAAGAACCACTACAATTTACAGAGCATCAGTTTGAGGTGGCTTAGTTATGAACTAGTTTGGCAGTGGCGAGGGGAATGGTTATCACCTCTGTGTACAAAGCTGGATGCAGCGGTTCTTGCACCTTTTTTTCCCCCAACTCCTGGAACTCCCCAGTGCCTACATGACGAGTTACACAGCTATTTGGCGAGTAGATCGGGGACTGACCTGGATGAATATCACTTTGCACAAAGTGGTTAGTTTTTCCTGTGGAGTAATTTTGTGATGTAATATGAGACTGCGCCCCAGGAATAGCAAGGGAGAAAGAAGCCCTTAGGTCAGTATTGCTGTCAAAAACTCTGTATTGCCAAACCACAGGGTTACCTTTTGTGCTCCCCAGTCAGAGTTCTGATACACTAAGGAGAAAACAAAATGGGACTATCAACATGCTGAAGATCAGGAATGTGAGCATGTAATTTGTCACCATAGAAGAATGGATTCCAAAACATGCCCAGGATTTGAACAATTTAGGTCTTTAAATACTTGCTGATTTCATCCTTGTTTCTGCTGCTCTTGTTTGCATCCCAGCTTCAGCTATTTTGCTACTTCAATTTCAGTCAAAAGCCATTCAATACACACTTTCCATAATGATAAGACTTAGATGGATTTAAGTGCGTATCATAAACTGACCCAGTTTGGTTTAATCAGTTGTAGTAAAACTGCGTAATCACATGCATTCAGCACAGGCTACCGTTTTAAGTCACTTAATTTTTGTGAGAAGTAACTTTGTGATTTACTGTTACAACAACTTAAAACACCCCACCAATAACCTACAGCAGAGCACTCAACTCTAATAGGATAGTGAGGGTGACTGGAGAAAGGGGAACCAGATTCAAGAAAGACCCAACTTGGTGAAAGCCCAAAAATGCAAAGTGACTTGCTGGGCAGGTTTCATGGCAGATACACATTGCTCCAGTGCACAGCACCGACCTGTAGCTCATAAGCAAAGTTGTATTTCCAGCCACTGTATCCGACTGGTAAGGTAGTACATAACCTATGTTTGTGGCTAGCAAAGAAGCAACAGTACTTCAAGCAAACAGACCCAAACAAAAGTGCATCCAGTAACACATGCCAATTACAATTTCAATTTATTCTTTATCAATCTATTTAGCCTTACAAAGAGAAGGAGAGAGTGGGAAATAAACGACAGTAGCACAGCTAACTGAAGGATGAAATGGTTCATTTACCTTTTCTGCCTCAGTCCCCGTTTCTAGCTGCTGCTTCTGTTTAATGCAGATCTGCCCCACTTTAGCCAGGAGCTCATGTGGGTGAATGAAGACTCGTGAGCTCAATAGGAAAGTGAAGATGTAAGTCCTCTGTGGAAGCAGAGAGGAAAAAAAAAAGTTGAATAAGTTTAGCAAAAATAATCTGTCTTCCTTGGAAAAACTATTCCATAAACTTAATATGCCTAACTAGTCATTGCTTACCAAAAAGACAAATTAAATATGTCCAGTGCAGGGTGTTACGCCTCTTAAACACCACTATTTCTGGTGCTTTGTTTCTTTAAGAGTGATTGTTTTTCATTGAGCTGCAGAAAACTGCTTCATATGTATTCCAAGCCACAGCTGTAATTTCTTCATGTATGAGTTTGGTTTTTTTGTTCCTTTTTTCCCACAATCATTGATACCAGCTTTAGCTTAGACTGTGGCCATATGACAATAATTTAGTTCTAAGCTTGACTTATTTTGGGGCCTGTTTCAGAGTTTTTTGAGTATGAACACTGCTAATAAAAGCCAACAGTTATTATTTCTCAGTAGAAGTAGCCTCTTGATTTGTATTTTAAAAGCTGTAATGCATTGTATTCTGAATCATACTCTGGACAGTTTAGTTGAAGGGAGAATGCCTTCATGCCCTAGTCTTGCTTCAGTGTTTGAAACGGCTTCTGTATTTGAATGTAATTGCCTGAGTAATGACAGTAGCATCTCATAAGCACTTCTGTTTTTCTGTTAGGCTTTTTGACAAAATTTGGGGTTAGTAAACTGTAGGGGATCTCCTTGACAATGGATTTCAATTGACCTTTGTTATGTTTGCAGTGCGTACTGTAACTTTGCACCATGTTTTTAGAAATGTGATTTGGCAGGCCACAGCCACGTGTGCATATAAAACAGTCAATGTGTGCATATACCCCCTTGGACTGGACAAGTAAATTGAAGTGTCTAAAAATTTAGGACCAGTTGTCTAAAATATGGCATCTCTACTATTAGCTACAGAATTCTGCTGCTTGCAGTCTCTAAAACACACTTGTAGTTAAACAATAATGGTATCTTTAGGACTCCAGAAAGGTTATGGCGTTTATCTCTAATCACAATAAAATGTGTTATTAATGAAAAAAGTTTCCACTTCTTTAGTACTCAGTGTGCCCTATAATATAAATTTAGCACTAAAACCCTCCAAATATCAGAGAGGGGGAAAAAGGAAATTTTTTTTGACAAAAGAAATAAAATTAACTAAAAGTCACAGTGTTCTGGGAGTCAGTGAACAGTATAATAGGTTAAGCACATATCTATTAAACATCCAACTTGTGGAGGAAGCTAATGAAAGAATAGAGTGGAGTGTGATACAGCAGAGGTGTTTAAAATGCTCATTCTGATTTGAGGATCTTATTAGCACTGGGGTTCATGTATTAAATTAGGAATAACAGTAATTCTGTACAGTCAAAACTGGAGTTAATCTGTAGTCTTTGCCTTGTCTATTGTTTATGAATAGAAGAAGAGAGGAGAAGGGTTAACTGGATGGACAGTTTGGGTCAGGTTCTTGAGTAGTACTTCCACTGATGTCTACAGAAGATGGACAGCTGGGGCCACCTAACAGTTGGGCTCTCGGTGACTTCAAGTAGGTGGCCAGGGCAGTGACAGAACACTGACAGTGTGGTCTCCCTTCTCAATGGCATGGTTGCAAACATCCCACACAAGTGTACATTGGGAAAAATTAAGAAATTTGGTTTCTGTTTGGTGTTTTGTTTGTCTTTCTCCAGAATTTCAGAGTTTATTTTTACAATGACAAAAAATTGAAGTTCATTAATTTTAAAAAGAAATTCAATGTAGCTCTGACGCCTGTGTCTGGAAACAGTTGATGACATTGTGTAAGCTTTGGAGAAGCTTTATAAAACTCTATAGTAGTGTATGCAGCGTGTTATGGGCACTAAAATTAGGCTGATGAGCTAACCCCATTCACAAGAGGGGACTTGGTTGCATTATGGGACAATGTATCAGACTTTTATTCTTATGCATGTGAGAACAACCCCTAAACTGATATGCTCCCCATTCAGAATGACAGCAAGAGAAAGAACAGTGTTGGGTTGTGAGATGATTTTTTTTATATTTTTTTTTTGGCAGTGGGTGGGTTTTTTCTTGTTTGTATTTTAAACTGTCTGGTTATCCTCTGTTATTTTTTGTAGCCAACTTCTGTGTTCTTTTCTATCAGCGTTGTCCCTGAACTTAAAACTGTGAGTCTGGACTATCTGGGAAAGGAATTTAGCTGTTGGGTGTGTCAGCTGTCATTGAGTTGTGTGAAAACTTTTCTTCTGGAAACATGAAGCAGCCCTCACTTTTACGGTATTTTGCATTTGAGAGAGATGGGGAATAAAAAAAATCATCATGGACTTTGATACTTTCATCCCTTCCCCACATTCTTGTTTTGGGAGTTTAGAAGCTTGTCTGAAAGATGCCTGTATGTGTAAGTAGCAGGGAACCACAACTTCAGCCACGTTGCCCTGCCAGTGACCTTTGCTCTGGTAAGCTGGAACACGTTCTTTTAAGGAAAGATATAATTTTGCTTCTCGTACTAATTCTAGCATTGGTCTCCTTGGTGGAAGTTTGTATGATGTGGGACAGTGTTTATCCAGAGCAACTCTGAAAAAAGGCCACTCAGTATCATTTCCCTATTGTTATACAGCAAGAAAAGTGTGACCCAGATGACCTGTGCTTTTATTTGGTTTCTTTGATAATGTTTTATATGATATTCAAAAAAGGGCCAAACTGGCAAGATGCAGGAAGACACATGGCCATAGAAGTGTGTACTTTCCATTTTAGGCTTGCTGATGTCTCTCTGTAATCAGTAATATCTGTACTGGACCCATGCAATGCTTTTCCAGACAACACTGGACTACTAGGTTTTAGAAACAAATTATTATTACTTCTGGAACCCATCTGCTGTATTTTTATTCAATTTAAGTTGCTTAACTGGAACTAGGTTCACTACTTTGGAAAACAAAATTGTTCCATTTTGGCCAATCAAGACATGCTGGTTTACAATATATTGGTATCTAATTGGGGCGTGGGGAGGTGTTGATGCATAGACAAGGAGTAACTGCAATTAAGAACTAAATTAAAAACTATAGGTCTGACAGCAGTGTTGACACCCATCTCCTTGCCTCTCTGCTAACAGCCACTCCCTATCCAATACAGAAAATTCAGGCTGAACTGAGCCATACATTTCAGCTTAGCGGTAGCTCTCAGGCATTAGGAACACAGTTGTTTTGGATAGGAAATATTTCATACTAATGACATATGCCTTATCTAGATCAAGGATTTCTGTGATTTGTTGCACCTGTACTGCTATATATACACAGGCTAAATGTTGTAACAGTGTAAAAACCTATACTCTCATAGGCAGCTCCCTAATCGTGAAGATGATAGTTTGAAGAAGGAAATTTAGCTATGAGGTTAGCTGATTTGACAAAGAATGATTAGAAAATTCTTCCATAAACTGAGATTGAATGTTAAACTCCATTTATCCTAAAAAAGTGACAGGTATTTGGGAGGAGACGCAAAAAAAAAAATCCTTTCTGTGCCTGGAACAACGTAAGCTGACACAAAAAGGGGCTTGTGCTTTACAAGAGAATAAGAAGCCAGATTCCTTTAGTGCCTAAAGTTGTTGCTAAGAGATGAGCTGAATTATATTTTAAAAAAAAAAAAAAAAGAGAGAGAGAGTGCACAAGACTAAAGAAGGAATTGTTACTCTCTGACCCAAGAATGCACTGATGTCTTCTCGAGGAGGGGGGGAAAAAAAAATATTTTCTTTATGCACTCACTGCTCATTCTGGAACTTCTTGTTTGTGAAATATTTTCTTGAAACATTTTCTTGCTTGGGCACAAGGGTTGCAGACTGGTACATTCCATTCCTAACCTTCCGAACTCCTCTGTCTCATGAGTATACATTTTTCTATGTGCTGAACCAGTCCCTGTACACAAACAAGCCTCAAAAGAGCAGTACACAAATGTAGGCCCTTATCTTTCCTGTCCTCCCTTGCCTGTCTCCTGTGCTGCCAACATGGCAAATACATTTGTTTTGCCTCTGTAACCAGCACAGAAAGATACTCTGTGCTGTCCTTTCCCCCCCCCCCCCTTTTTTTTTTTTTTTTTTTTCCTGTCTGGAAGGTTACTGTGATCTTTAGCTTAATGTCCACGGAGGCGGGAATGCCTTCTAACCTTTGTGCTCACATGTACTAATCCAAAACTTTCGATGAGTACTGCAACTTCCAGCTATGTCACTCTGAAACTAAGGTAATCTCTGCTAATGTTACCAATAACTTCTCTTGGTACACATTAATTGGTGATGCCTTGCTGCCTCTTTTTGCATGCATAGCCAGAGACATGAGAGGTGTTTATACCTTCTTGAACATACAGTATTGGCTACTCTTCTGACAGGATATCAGCATAAATGGCTATCATTCTAACCCTCTGTGGCAACTTCCCTAAAAATAGAAATGAGCATGAAATTAAGTATAAACATGCAACTGAACTGAAACAGAAAACTTGGATTTGAAGATGACCCAAATACAGCTCCGTCTTTGTGTTGTTCCGAGCTTATTTATCTACTCATAATTAATCCTTTCAGCTAAGTTGGGTGATATGATTTAACTAAAAGAATGTGTCCTGCTGTAGAGGAAATGAGTTTGGTTTAATGCTGTCTTCCATCTCTCTTTC